CACATAATAAATACTGTCAATTGCATTTTCTTCAAAATATTCACTGTTCCTCCTCATGGGACAAACCTTGGATGCCTGTCTCATTCGGGTCAGGTTTAGCCATGTGATTTGTTAAGTCAGTGAAATATGAGCAGAAATAACATGTGCCACTTTAAAGTAGAATCTTAAGAACCATTGTATGATTCCCCTATCACCTCTGTTTTTCCTTCTACAACAGTGGTCCCCAACGTGTTTGGCACCAGGGACTGGTTTCATGGGTGAAACTCTTCCATCTCATGAGGAGCACACAACCTAGCTCCGCCACATGTACAGTAGGATTCATCATCTTATGAGAATCTAATACCACTGCATTAGATCTAACAGGAGGACAGGTAATAGTCCAAAACCTGGGATTTAAGGACCCTCTGGTCTACAAGACTGGTATGTCCAAGAAACAGACTATTCTTTTAGACTTCCTCTTCAAAATGGAGATGACATAGAACAGAGCCATAGGCCATCTGCTATTAATATAATGGCTGAATTAAACTTCTGTTCTATACCACAGAGCTAATGGGATGATTTATTGTGACAAAATAATTTAGTCTAAGATGGGTAGATATTTAATAAATGTTGAAGAAAAAAAGGAAGGTTATAGAGGCCTAGAAAAAAAAATAATTCCAGAGTCAATTTTGTTTTAAACAAGAACTATCTGTTGAAAAGAAGAAAAAACTAAGCTTTCATGAGTTCCTAATTATGAGAAATCATGGCAATTGGGATTGAAAGGAGAAAGGGAAAGAGTAGATTGTAGAGAAGGAGAGTATATTTTTGGTAATGCAATCTTGGGAAGAAATAAAAGTGAATTCTTGCTAGATTAGCATGTCCTTAAGATGTCTTCAGGGAATATTTAAAGGAATCTAAGTATCTGTTAGTGAGGTGTTTTGAGAATCCAGTACGTATGTATAAAGATTTATCCTTTAGTCAAACCAAGCTAAGTAAGTTAAGAATGCTTTTTCTATTTTAAATGTCCAAGTTGCTCTGCTTCTATAGCCAAAGAATGACTACAAACCTGACTAAAACAACATCCAGATTAAGGCTATATGTAATTACAGCCAATTCTTACTATTCACAGTAATGTTCTATAAACATGCAGCAAACACTAAATCAGTGAATAATGACCATTACTCCTAGAGGAAATACAAGCTTAGGTTGCTGTGAGCCTTTGGTCACATGTTCATCAACTAGTCAAAACATAGCCTTGCTTTATGTATGTTCCTTTTAAAGATATCTTATTTAATATACATTGTTGATTCACTAACTTTGAACTTGCAGCAAGAGGACTTTATTCATGCATCTTATTTAACATATGTATTGTCTATGTACAGTTATGCCTAGTCCCTCAACATTTACATAACATTGGTTCCAGCACACTTCCTCCCCTCACCCCACCAACATCAAAATCTAAAGATGCTCAGGTCTCTTAAATCAGATAGTTTAGTTTTTCATGTAACCTATACATACTTCCATTATACTTTAAATCATCTCTAGATTATTATCCCTGATATAACATATACATTATATAAATAGTCATTATACTGTCTTGTATTTTTATTTGTATTATTTTTATTGTATTATTATTTTTTCCAAATATTTTCAATTAATGATCGATTAAATCCATGGATATGGAACATACAGTTAATAAAAGCTGGCTGTATTTTCTATGTATATTATNCAACAGCACTATAACTCCAGGTTGAACAAAGCTTGCCTGATACATATTTTCTTTGTAAGGCACATCACAACCTTCTTGTGCTTAGAAACACTAGATAATGCATCAGTATTATTCTTGGAGGTCAAGTTAAACAGTAAAATCACCAACAAAAAACACGAATATGCAAAAGATGGCACTAAATACATAGTGAAAAGGACACTTGTTTGTAGTATGAGAACTGAAACAAGAAAGCAGAGAGTCACTGTTTTCAACCTCACATGGGGACATGCACTTCAGAAGTTTCAAATGTATGCCACTCTGTGCATGCCCATGAATGACTGCAAAAATGCCATCAATATTCATTCTGGTATTGCAAATAAACTTCAGCAAGTAGTTAAATTTGTAAATGCAGAATCTGTAAATAACAATGATCCACTGTATGTCCAAACAACTGGAAAGAAAACAGTCAAATGGATTATGAGGAGTTGGGCAAAATGCCTGCTAGTGAGAAGAGGGAGAAATTGGATGGATAAATAATAAATCTAGCAAAGTGCCTTACATGTGGTAGATTTTCAGTAAATGTTAGTTTCTTTCCCTGTCTTTATCCCTTTGTTTTCTCTTGCTTTGGTAAAATACAAGTTACCTAAAGAATTAAAATAGTACCAGAATATTGAAGGTCCACCTATCAAAGTAATAGAAAGCATTAGGTGGTAGAAAGGTTTTTCTTAACATTTCGTTTTACTGCTGAATTTACTAAATCATACTTAGAGATGCTCTGTCATCTTAATGTAAATCTTAAAGGCATGTTTATGTAAAAATGTTAATATTTAGCCAGTGTTGAATTATCTTTTATGGGATTAACATAGCAGATATTACCCAAAAATTTAAATAGAATGACCCTGTTTTGTCACATAGATACAGGGATTTTCTGTTTCCACACTCACTTCTTTATGATTTATATTTTGCTATTAATTGGAAACATCTGAAGCAAAAATTATTTTAAACTCACAAATCTAACTTATAAGACTAATAATAAAACATCATAGTTTTCTAAATTTTTAAACTTACACAAAAGATATATACCTTAAAAAAAAAAGGAGAATACATGAAGAGGGATGACTTAATTATCACCCTCATCCTGACAGTTTTCTTTTATGGAAATATCACCTGCAAAAAGGTTTATCAAGACAAACTTTTTACAATTCCCATTAAATTCAGTGAATGAATGGTGAAGGGTAAATTGGAGCCATTATAATCTTACATTTCTTATGTAATATTCATAATCACAGTGTTACATAAGAGCGAGCTAATGTTAACAAAAGGAGCAATTTAAATTCCCACTTCCTTGGAGAATGGGGCTCTGCTTGACAAACAGAGCTTCCTGTCCCCTTTGCAACACGCCCACACAGCTCCTCGAGTGCCAATGAGACCCACACTCTCATCTCAGTGATATAATAAACCCTCCAAAACAGAGGAGAAAATGAGGCAAACAAGCCCACTTCATTTCAACTTGTCAGCTTTAAATAAAATCTTCTGGAACTGAAAATGGGAAACTTGAGGGAAGATAATGTGTGAAGTAACCAAATTCAACACTGGGACAAAACATACTACAGCACTACTTTTTTCTTGATCTGCCACAAAAAGTTTTTGAAATTTCACTATAGGTGATTTTTAATGAAATATCTTTTTGTCAAGGAGGACTTAGAAGAAGAAAGTGTTCATTTTGTTTATTTTTTCCCTTCTCTCCACCCCACTGATGCCTTAGCTAATATCTCAAGTCATCTCAAGCCCCTATGATATCTTAATGAGTAATCTGTGACTTTTGGAATAACTCCCAATTATCAATATTTATGTCAGAGTTGGTACAGCAGAGCATACTGAAAAAAGTGCATGCTTTCTGTATAATTTAATTATTTACATAATACTTTCTTGGTGCTGATTTTTTATGCAAAATATTGGACCATGCTTTCTGCATAGAAAAAAAAAATGTTAAGGGCAAAAATGCATTGAAAGGAAAGTAAAAGTAAATTAACATTCTGTTAAATGGAAATATTTGAGTATCACTGAAATAAGCAGTGATTGGTAGTGCAAATCTCTTCCTACGTCCTGTCCCCAGTACCCACTGCTCTTATCCCCAGCTCACTTCCTAACGCTTTTTTCCCGCCTTGCACTTAGGAGGCTCTAATCTGTTATTCCCCTTAATTCTGTCCATATTCCTTCTCTTCTCTCTTTGAGGTTGCTTGTAATTTTGTCAAATTTTCCCTCTCCTCATACTTCCTTAATGAGCACTTAGATTTCTTCCAGGGATACATAGTACCACTGGGTTCCAGCAGACAGGCAGCACAAGCTGTGTATATTTCAAAGCCAGTGAAGAGGGGCGAGTCAGCTTCCTTCTTTCTTAGATGCTCTAGGTTGTGCCCAAATTGTATGCAAGCATCTTTTCATGAGTTTTGTTTTTACTTCCAATACTATGTTTCATACATTTTCAAAATCATTGTAAAAGATTTTTTCTTACTCGTTACACTCTCCTATAGCATTATAATATGAACCCTCTGATTTCAAATCCTTTCATCTTAAAATTCCCAAATAACTTTGAGTAATCAGTGCAAGAATGATGATTATGTTGAGGAATATGATCCCTTCACCATTTTTGATGGCACACTGTTGAGAAGTTCTTTTGGGCACTGTAATATAAAATGTGATTTCAGGTATATATTTTTAATATATTTTACAAATTCCATGGGATAGGAAAGAGTGTATGGACTACGGACTACAAAGATTTCAGTTTGAGGCTTGACAAATCAACATTTAATAGAGTGACCATAATCGGCAAACAGTTTTTGTAAACCTCTCTATCATTCACTTGTAAAATACGAACAAAAATGTTGTGTCGCAGGATGATTAAATTCATACTAGGCATGTTTGGGGGATATTTTTGATTCTTATTTTGTGACCATTATAATTATTATTATAAAGCCAAAAAAGAATGTATTTAAAGTTAACTTGACCTGGCTATTAAATGTCTATTAAAATGTGAATGATGGTATTATGCAGCTTCCATATATATATATATATATATACACACACATGCACACACACATATACATATATACTATATTTTACAACAAGTAAAATTCTGCCAGAAGCTCTAGGTTATTCTCTACAGTTTAAGGTAAGTGAGGCTAGTGCCTTTTGGTAATCTTAAACCCAAAGTATCCACGGTTTTATTGTAGTTTTTATTCTAACAAGCTGCTATATCAATAATCACCTCAGTGTAATGTCGGACCATCATGTGGTCTGAAGGATCTATTTAATGACTAATCCTGTCAAAAGGAAAGCAAATGGACTCATTTGCTTAGGAGATATCTGTTCTAAGCTGAGGGTGTTTTTGTTTCTCCACAGTGATGGCTGGGCTGACAGGTATGATGTGACAGATGGATATCAGCGAGAAGCTGTTGGTGGCATCACAATCAAGCTCCAATCTCCCGACGTCAAGTGGTTTGATGATTATTATCTGAAGCTCCGGCCAGAAACAAACCACCGAAACCCGTGGTTTCAAGAATTTTGGCAGCATCGTTTTCAGTGCCGACTGGAAGGGTTTCCACAGGAGAACAGCAAATACAACAAGACTTGCAATAGTAAGCAGATGTATTGTTTCATTTAAAGTGCATAAGGCTGAGCCTCCAATGTAAGTTAACCATGTCATGGGGACAGTGGCTGTAATTTGTTAGAGGAGAGGACTTACATAAGCAAAGTAGGTATTGCCACTTATGGTGATAAACAGGTTTTAGTTTCATTAGGAAACACATATCAGAGCAAGTATTTAGTAGTATTTTATGTGATTATTAGATAATTTCTATTTGTATCATCCAAAAAATTGAATGTGTTTCCATACAGCATTGTGCTAAAAAGATCATGTGAGCTCCAGAATGGGACTATTTCTGACATCCTTGAATGCAGTGACTACATTCTGCTCATTTCTATTATCCAGAGGAGTTCCCACAGTGGAAGCACATAGTAATGGTTTTATATATGTACAAAGAATGAATAAATGAGTATTGAAGGACAGATCCAATTGTTACTTCCATCAAAAAACCATAAAATAGTACCAGGGATTTGCTATATATAATTGTCATGATGTTTCAGGAAACGTAACTAAAGTAGAGTAATTCATTCAATCATCCAACAAATAAGAGGCTAAGAAGGTACCAAATATTGCTTTAGTTTTAAGAATACCAGGATGGAGAAAGCTAGTTCCTGCCTTCAAAGGTTTACTCTCTTGGAATGGACATAGTAATGCCAAGAAAAATTGCAATTAAGCATTATAATTGATATGATAAGAGTTTAAAATTAAAATTAGAGTTTGGGTTAATATTATTTGTGACATGTCCAAAAGGAATATTGACTCTAATAACCAGGTAGAGCCAGCATATACTGTCTATATCTATATCGATATCATCTATATTATATCTCTAATATCTGTGCCTGCAAATGTTAAAGTTTGTTAAAATTGGGAGGATTTTTTTGGGGGGAACTGACTTATCCTACACTGTGTAATAAGAAACCCATATACATTTGCATAGGAGGAAAATGCAAATTGAACATGGAACATGCTCAAATTTTTAAAAGATAAAATGTTAATAAATTATTTAAAATCTTACTAGAGTAAATACTTGCTCTGATCTGTTGTTGTTAGTTGGTGATACAGGTGCCTTTATCCATGGTGCTGGAATATCAGAATTTATCCATGGTGCTGGAATATCAGAATTGATTAGAGCAGTGGGCTTAAAATTTTGGTCCATGGACCAATTCTACCTCACAGAGAGTTTGTCACATACCAACAACAAAATGGTAAAAATAGGAACAACTTGGTAAGCTATTCATAAAGCTTTCTCCCTCTGAGGTCATGTTCATCCTGTGTTTCTGGTATCAGTTTGTTCTTTTAGGAAATAATGGAAATAGTAAATGGTGCTTTGTGATTGTTTTTAAATATAATTGCTTTGTAAAACAAGCACCCAGCAATCCTGTATCAGTTCCTATTTGGGTAGAAGGGGAAGGGAAGAATGCTAGAGTGTGGGATAATATACCTGTCAATGAAATCCAGAAATCATTGCAACATACTGTGAGAGTGTGTTCCCTTCTTTCCCACTTTAGATCCTGCTATGTCCAGAATCTTCAAATGCTTACTCATTTCCTTTGTTTTTATTTTTATGGAAAAATATGTGAGAAAAAATAGCATTGTCACTTATGGCTCATAATTTCAAATGTATCTAATTTAGTATTTTAACAGTTCTATCTAGTTTCTGAAGAAAACAAACTTGTTTCCTCTAGAAATTTGGGAAGCATATGTCCTTCTGTGGTCTATCCTATGTTTGTGTACTTATTAGTATGTGTAGCTTCATTGGAGGACTTATAAAAGGTAAGCAGTAGCTCTGATCTCATCTCCAGTTCCTCTTTATGAGGAATTGGTGACAACACTAACCAGTGTATTTAAGGGAATTTTTCCAGTTGATCTGCACCCTCTTTCTTTACTAATTTCTTCTTTTCCCACTGCTTTTTGTCAGAAATGTCTCCTCCTAAAAATAGTTCTTTGTTTCTCTGATTCTTTATTTGCTGGAAATCCTGATTAAATATAGTCTTGAAAACTTTAACTGATTTACATGAAAATATCATTTCTATGGAAACCATTCTGTAAAATCCTTCCTTGACCTTGCTGCTGTAGCTCTCTGTCTCTCAGGTGAGCACCTTGGTGTGATCTCTCTGCTCAGAATCTGTTCTTTACTGCAGTCATGGAAAGCACCATTTAGTCCTCCAACTTGGGATCTTATCTGATAATAGATGTCATTTGGTACATAAACATGGATTACTTTATATGTAGTGCCTCTGTTATATTTCTGAATGAGGGATGTATATTATTATCCTCATTTTAAAGCTAACAAAAGCATGATTTAAAGAGACAAAATAACCTCCTCCAGTCATGTAACTCCTAAGCACTGAAACTTAAAACTGAACTCAGATTTGTCTAGAGTTTAACCAATCTGCTGGACTAAACAAATTAAATATAACAGATTTAATAATCACCATCAAATCTGCATTATATAATAGTCAATATATAGATCAAAGATACAAGAAAAAATAATTCTTAGAATTATTTATATCTTACTATGAAGTACAATAAAAGATACTAAAATATTCTCTACTCTCTACTTTTGATTCTAGTTTTATGTAATCCAGTGTCCACTGAGCATTTCAGCCCTATCATGTATGAGAGTTTAAGTTGCTCCACCCCCTTGTTAATACTTGTTTTTTCTTTGGTATTTTTGACCATCTGTGAATGTGTAGTTCTACCATATTGTGATTTCACCTGGCTTTTTCATGATGTATTTCAAAGTTAAGGTCCTTTTCATATGTTTTTGGAAAGCTGGTATCCTATTGTGTCTGTTCAAGACTTTTGAACATTCCTCTGAGTTTATTATCTTTTTAATATCTATTATAAGAGTTCCTCATGTAGTATGGATATGAGTCCTTTGTCAGCTATATTTATGATAAAATTGCCAAATCAGAAGTTTGGCTTATTATTTTACTGTATCTCTCATTTGCTACTTGTTTTCTTTTTGTCCAGTTTGTTATTTAGTTCTTTATTCTTCTGTCTTTTCTGCTTTGTTTTGTATTAATCAATAATTTTTATTATTTTATTCTCTCAACTTTTTTGCTTCATCTGTTTGTATAATTTATTTAGAGTTTTCAATAGAAATTACCAAATGAGTCCTTAGTTTAAAACAGACTATTTTAAGTTCTTATTCACTTTCAAGAAGCTTGCAAGTATTTAACTCTATATACCCCTTCACAATTTTTTTGTGCAGTTGCCAAATAGTTTACTTTTATATATACTCTATGTACCAAAGGACTCTGTTGTAATTGCAGCCATAGATGATCAATCATTTTGTAGTTATTGAGGCTATCATTCTTCATTCCTTCTTATACTTCCAGGCTTTCATCTATCATTTCAGCCCGAAGAAATTCCTTTAGTATGTCTTATGTACGCAGATCTACTGTCAAGAAGTTGTACCAAAATTTTCCTGAGAAAATTTTTATTTCATCTTTGATTTTTAAAAGATATTTTCACTGAGCATAACATTCAATATTGGTTTTGTTTTGTTTTCTTACTTCATTCTTATTTTTTCTTTAAAAATGACATTTCATTTTCTTCTAGATTTTGTGATTTCACTGAGAAGTTAGCCATCATTCTTGATGTGTTTCCTGTGGTGGCAATATCGCAATATGTCTTTTTTATTTTAAAATTGTATATATATATTTTTAAGTTTTAGTGACCATGATGAACTTTGGTGTAATTTCCTTTATATACTACTTTCTTATGGTTTCCAGAGCTCCTTAAAGCTGTAGAATAAAGGCTTGCATCAGTTAAAAATTTTTTCCCTTAAACATTCCTCTTGCTGCATTTCTCTCTCCTCTCCTTCTACTACCCAGTTACACCTCTGTTAAGCCATGTGACCATGTCACAAATATGACTTATTTTCTGGATAGTCTTTTCTCTTTCGTCTCTATGATTCAGAAAGAAAATTTGGCCTATATCTTGAGGAAAAGGCCAGCTAAAGTGTGAGGAATCTTCATTCCTCAAGTGAGCTTTTCTTATAAATATTACAAAACAATTTAAGATCTAAATCTCCCTCTTCAAAATCTTGAGCCTCTCATGCAGCCCCCAGAATCAGCAAGGGAATCATGGGAGAAAATATTCCCATGCTTTTAGGGCTCCTGGAATTTATAAAGTGTCATTTTAATAACCAAAAGCATTACTGGTGCTTCTTTTTCTAAGGAGTATCTTATACTGGGTTGAATTACCACTTGCTACCCCTTCCTTAATTCATGTCTTTTGCCAGAACCTGTATGATCTTCTTTAGAAGTATAACTAATAAGGATAAAGTGTAGTAGGGTAGGCCCTTAATTCAGTATGATAGATATCTTTATATAAAGAGGAGAAGAGACGTAGACACAGAGAAAGACCCGAGGAGAACACCATGGGATGGCACAGGCAGAGACTGGATTGATGCAAGAGCAATCCAAGGAATTTCAAGGATTGATGGTCATCACCAGAAGTTAGGAAGAATTCTACCTAGAGTCTCAGAGGGAGTATGGCACTGCTGACACCTGATTTCAGTCTTCTAGCCTCCAAAACTGGGAGGCAATCAATTTCAACTGTGTTAAGCCACCCAATTTTTGGTTCTTTGTAATGGCAACCTTAGAAAATTAACATTCCTGCATGTAAACCTAGAGAGATCCTCAAACTGAATTCTGCAGTCAGAACCTGCAAGTATTCTAGGCAATAAAAGAAGCCGATGACACCTTGCTTCCTTGATGCTCTTCCCTTTGTGTTAGTTCTTTTTGTTTTTGTTGCTTCTAGATATCTTCACTGCCTTTAAAAATTTTGACTTTTGCATTTCTTTCACCTTTTCAAGTATGCAGTAAAGGAATTTTCGGTTGCTTCCTTCTCCATCCGACCTAACACCAGTTCTTCCTCTACTCTTCATTCTTAGTTGTTGCTACTCCTGAAACTCTAATGTTGTTGTATAAATAAAGCTGTCACTTGTGATGTCTAAAATGTTTGTAGCTTTGTTAATTT